AGCATTTATAATAAAAGAAAATTAACAAAAAAACTATTCTTGGATAATCTTGATTTAATATATAAATTAGATTGGAATTTAATGGGATGAGAGAAAATGTTACAAACATTGACCAATATTTGAGAGAGAGAGAGGGAGAATGATCTTATTAGCGAGAGTAATAATGAATTTTATTAAAAACAATTAAGATGGATTTTGTTTGAGTAATGAATGGATTTTATTAAAGACAATTAAGACCTGAAAGGGTTTTTTATTTTGACTTCTTCTATTTTTAATGATTTAATTTAAAAATAACTAACCACATGTGTAAGAAATGAGAGGACTAAGGAGGAGGTTTGATTTTAAAATAGACCCGTATGTGCATGGGCTGGTTTAAAGAGATGCCCACGTTGTATTCAATTTATTAACTTGGGTGAGATGGTGAGTTTGATTGGTTGTAGGTGAGCTTAAATAGCCCCATATTACCAATTAACGGTGGTTCAAATGATAGGATCTCCCCCTCCCTGCCCGTTGTGCAGCCCCAAAGAAAGAAGAAAAATCTCATATTCACTTGTTTTGTTTTTAATAATTCAAAAATACCATAAAATTCTAAAGGGATTGAAAAGCAATAAGAGGAATTGACGTACACAACCTGGCCTAGACTGACCCAATGGATTATTTGGTCTTTATCTTCTCCAGTAGGTTCTTGTGGGTTGTAGGCTGAGGCTTTAGGGTTGGGATGTGTGGGCTTCTAACTGGCTAAAATGCCAATTTTTTATTGGGAGAATGATGGTTAAGCCCAGGGTCAGAATTTTTAGGCCCAAAGTACAATTAGGATAGGTATCAGCTCCGAATTGATGCCAATTCATGGGTGGGCATTAGTGTACAGAATAGGGGTTTTTGACATTTTAAATACTTATAAGTTTGCAGTGGAATTCAGAAATCTACATTTGACCTGTCCATACTTTTCTGTTTTTTTTTATTTTTAATTAACGATCAGTTTGAAAAGGTATTTTACCTACCACCCACGAAAAAAGTACAATTTTTCTTTTTGTTCTTTTATGATGATTGAATTCTTCCTCCTTGTTGTAGTTAATGTGCATTACGGGTCTGTTTAATTTGTAGTCAAAATCAGAATTGGAATAGTCTATTATTCCCATAATGTGTTTAATTCAGACAAGAATTGGAATGGAAGCTAGATTTAGTTGGAATTGAATTTCATTTCAAGGAGGGTGAGGGAACGGCCACTCCCTCAAATAAGAAAATACCATTCTCCAGAAGTGGGAATAGGATTCCAATTCCATTAATCAAACAGTTGAAACTGGAATGCGATTCCAAACCCCTGTTCCTACAAACCAAATGGGAACTGCCTTTTTTCTGCCACAAGTCTAAGGCTTATATTAAACTAATTATTTTAATAGATGATATTGATGTATATATTTTATGAAAATTGTCACTTAATTGTCGCCTTCCTAAGGTTGGGCTGAAATTTTGTTAAATTATGAATGCGCCTGAGCCCAAACTCTAGCCTGATGTAATTGAAACTCTTGAAACCATGGCTCAGTTTAGAAAGAGTATAAATACAAATATATACAGTATAGATACATACAAAATAATATAAAATACAAAGTTTTGCACTCTAACGTTTGTATTTGTACTCCTTCCAAACTGAGCTCAAGGAATTCGATTCTCAGTTTTACACTTATTGCTTGTAGGTGGAAGATGCCATTCATGATCCATTAGTGGAAAAGTGGTAGCCTGAACCCGAATTTGATGTAGTTGAAACTCTTCAAATTTGGAAACCCAATATTGTCCATACTTGGAATCAGGGTTTTTGAAATTGAATCGGACAATGAATCGGTCAGGGGTCTGGTTTCCGAGTCGAATGGTCCAACCATTCAAACCGAATGGATGGCTTATTTTGACAAAAAAAATAAAAAAAATAAAAAACAGTCAAAACCGTTGAACAATTCAACCACCTGGGCCAGTGGTTTGTTGACCAAATCAATGTTTTTTTACAAAATTCTAATTTTGGAAAAAAAATAAAACCAATCACCTAACCGATTCCCGGTTTTTTCGATCCGACCATCCGGTCCAGTTTTAAAAACCATGCTTGGAACAGGGAAGGTGCCATCATTCTAACATCCACGAGTGGAAAATGTGCTAAGCGTTTGGAGAGGCATTGTATCTTTTGGTCTTAATAAAGAAAGAAAGAGAATGAATTGAAGCAAATGCAATAAAAACAACTTTTGGGAGTTGGGAGTAATGGTGGTGGTGGTGGTAGTGATATTAATTTAATTAAAGCCCATGATGCCAGGCCCACTTATAAAAGAAATTTATTCCATCGTTTTCACACCAACCTCAAAGCACTTGCAGCCGTGAGGAAATATTCCCAATGCACGGCTGCAATGTGCTGTAAGATTGGTGTGAGGAGCAGATTCAGATTCTTTATGCACTTGGTAACTTACCTACCGTTGCAATTAGTAGCCACAGCCACTGTTGGTGTGTACCCAGATTTATTGCATAGTTGTGGAGATCGGCTTCAGTGCTCAGAAGACGGCATTTACACCGTTCATATAGCCTTTTATAATTGTGCATTGACAATATCTTCATATTTGTATATTTTTATATGGGGAGATATTCCCAAAGTTGAAAAGGACTGTACAAACGGTGTGAGTGAACCCCCGAAGCCAATTTCTTTTTGCTGTACTTTCATTCAGCCTGTGACAGGTGTCCCATTACGGTATATACATGTGTAAACCACGAAGAGACACTGATGACCCACTATTTCAGCAAACCACATTTGCTACAACACTATGGCCCCACCTTGAATCAGATGAAGTGACCTTGGTGAGGCCACAGAAATAAACCCAAGGCTTTGATTTTCAGTTTTAGCCTTACACTAAGACACTGTTGTAGCAAAAGTGAGATGCATAGTTTAGTTGATCACTTGGCAGAGAATATGATCAGTGAGCCTGAGCTTTGCATTCTTACTACTATTCAGTATACACCCATTAACCCTGCTAATAATAATATGAACATCAGTGAGCCTGAGCTTTGCATTCTTACTACTATTCAGTATACACCCATTAACCCTGCTAATAATAATATGAACATCAGTGAGCCTGAGCTTTGTGTTCTTACTACTATTCATCCATTAACCCTGTTAACTGGAATTCATTTTGTTCCTTTTTAAAAAGGAAAAAATCCTCTTTTTATTGGTGGATAAGTAGGTGTTTGGCATCAATACCGTCTATTCAAAACGCGGTACCACATCAGAAATCCGTTGTTTTTTTTTGGGGGGAAAGTGTCTGCTGTTTGGTTAGCCATTTTTCTGAAAAGCGTTTTCTTAGACTACGCCTTGAAATCGGGAAATTAAAATGTGGTATGAGAAAACACCCTTTTTCTACTGTTACTAGCAACAGTATGCTGACATGGCTGTGTGGCAAAAACAGCAATGGTACCAAATAAAAGACCTGAAAAAACAGCATACTTTTGCAGCACTAAGAAAACGCCTCTAAGGAAAAGGCATTGCTAAAACCGCTTAGAGAATAACCTCATGGACCAAAAATTTGTAATTGCTACAACTATGGGGGTGGTGCCCCATCTTATCTATGGCCATGTTATGTGCCTCAAAGTCCAAGACATTTTCTATCACAACTGTGGCAATGAATTGACTATGGAGGTAGAACAGTCTGGAGCTCAATAAAAGCTAAGTGTTTCATAGCTACAATTCGACAGCTACCAATGAAAGGGTCTTGGAATGTCAGGTTGGCAGCCGATATTAAAACTTCAGTAAAATACAATGCACCACATTGCAGAACTTTGCATTTTACTGCAACCTTATACAATTCAAAATAACAAACACTTTCACCCTAAAACACTAATACCCGCTCATGTATTGGCATCAATTCTGAGCTGGGACCTACCCCAACTGTACTGTGGGGTTAAAAATTCTTAGGGTGTGCTGAACAGTCATTCTCCCTTATTACTTTTGTTAAAATCTCAAAGTCATAGTTGCATATAACATTTTCACATCCTCCTCAATTGTTGAAAGTTGGAACAAATTGATTGCACTTCATAATATTTTCCTCCAGACTCATCTAGTCATGATGATATTTGGCATGTATTATCAATTACATAGGGCCCAGTGGGTTGTGATCTTGATTCCTGATCCTTCACACATGGAAAACCCAATGATAATGGGTGACCCAGTGGCCCAGGCCCATCTACAGGTCCTGCCACCTGTGGGACCAGACCTAGGAGACAGTCCCTTGCCTGAAATACCCCACTTTTACTCATCCCAACCAAAGTTAACTCGGAGTTAGGGGGAAGGCAACATCATTCATTCATTTGCCAGTAGAGAAGTTCAAGGCTTCAAGCCTTTAGGATATTGAAGGCCCCACCAAATCCCATTTGGTTAGAGGAACAAGAAATCACAGTAACTCATTACATATTTAAGAGGTTCAGACAAGAAATAAGGAAGGAGATACGAGTGCTTAACTGCTTATGCACAGTAGTTTTCTCCTCGGAACATCTCTGATGGTTATCAGGGCAGCAGTCTGAACTAAGGAGGTTATGCAATAAGAATATGAAGCTCAGTTAAAAGCAAGAGTAACAGTAATTGATGCTATCATCACTGCTTAATTACCATGCTCTTTCAAAAAGTAGACAAAGACTAAAGGTAGTCTGAGTTTAAGATATTTTTCTTTTATGACAAACACTACCGATCAGAGAGAGATACAGAGGAGATCTAGAAATCTATTTCTAATATTTTCTTGACATCTTATCTTCAACTAATCACTCATCATCTCTTCAAACAGACTCCCTAAAAGGTGGATAAAATATAAATATTTTTTTGGACACCTAAAGGTGAGATATCACTAGCTTTTAGGGGGTGCCAAACATGTCACTTAGCTGGAAATGAGAGGTTATTTGGGGCCCTACATCCTCAGCACTAGTCATTGCACTTTGATCACCACTAACAATCTTAGTCTTCTTAAATGCCTCCCTATCACCAACTCCTCACACTCACTCACTAGATAATTCTCTTTCTTGTACTAACTACTTTCTTTTTCTGTAGAAGGAGAAGCTAACAGAAAATGGGGTTCTCCAGTTCTCTCTTGGGTTCCTTCCTTTTTCTTGTTTTGATGTTCTCTGTGGCTCATGGGCAGCCTCTTGTTCCTGCATTGTGCATCTTTGGAGACTCTGTTGTTGATGTGGGCAACAATAATAACCTCCTTACTCTTGTAAAGGCAAACTTCCCTCCTTATGGAAGAGACTTCACCACCCAGAGAGCAACAGGGAGGTTTTGTAATGGAAAGCTGGCTACCGACTTTGCTGGTAAAAAAAAAATCTCAAGAACCATTAATTGTTTTCTTCTTTCTGGTAAAACTTCATTTTCTTCTCTTAATTTTCTCTAATGGGGTAATGGGTTTGTGTTGCTTTAATGCCTCTGAGCTCAGCTGAGACCCTTGGCTTCACTACATACCAACCTGCTTACCTTAGCCAGGAGGCCACGGGGAGTAACCTCTTAATAGGAGCCAACTTTGCTTCAGCTGCTTCTGGTTATTATGACAGGACAGCACAATTATATGTAATTCTCTCTCTCTCTCTCTCTCTCATTAACAGATGGTAATCTGTTGGAATTTATTACTTTGCAGGATGCCATTCCATTGACCCAGCAACTGGAGTACTACAGGGAATACCAGAAAAAAGTAGTAAAGATTGCAGGGAGATCCAATGCTGCCTCCATCTTCTCTGATGCTATCTACCTTGTTAGTGCTGGGAGCAGCGATTTTGTTCAGAACTACTACATTAATCCTCTTCTCTATGGAGTCTACACTCCTGATCAGTTCTCAGCCCTACTCATGCAATACTTCTCTGCATTCATTCAGGTCTTCTTTCACACTAACTATACTGGATTCTGAGCATGTATAGTATACAGCTCTACACTAGCTCTTCCTGTATGCTAATGAGTGTCACATTTTGCTATAGAATCTATATGGGTTGGGAGCGAGGAGGATCGGAGTGACGACGCTGCCACCGATCGGATGTTTGCCGGCATCTATCACTCTTTTTGGTCTTGGGAGCAACAAGTGTGTGGAGAGGCTAAACGGAGATGCTGTGTCATTCAATAACAAGCTAAAAACCACAGCTCAAGGATTGAAGAAGAGGCTTTCTGGTCTCAAACTTGTTGTCTTTGACATCTACCAGCCTTTGCTGGATCTCATCAACAAGCCTGCTGATAATGGTATGTGCCTGAAGAAACTTCTCTACAAGACTAGGCATGTTACAGATAGAAGTACAAACCGTTATGTGAAGATGCCTTGAAGCTGAAGGCCCTATCAAAATGATGGGGTCCACTACCTCATTGCACTCTGGGCCTTTGATTTGTTGACCAAAGTCAAGAGATTTAATGGGAGATTTGGAGATAAATAGATGGACTGGGTCTGGCCTCTGGACCCTGGGAACACAGGGGGTACCCATCCCATGATTCAAAAATTGAGACCCACCATTGGATGGGTCCCAACTGAAACTTTAGACAAATAACTAATGAGAATGGTCATCTTCATTCATTCAATCTCCTTGAACTCTCTTTAATCCCAAGCCCTATGAGGCCATGACATTCGTTTGTGCAACAGGATTCCTGGAGGCAAGAAAGGCTTGTTGTGGAACGGGGACAATAGAGACATCTCTGCTTTGCAACTCTCTATCAATTGGGACATGTACTAATGCTACAGAGTATGTGTTCTGGGATGGATTTCATCCATCTGAGGCTGCAAACAAGATATTAGCTGATGAACTCCTGGTTCAGGGCATCTCTCTCATCTCCTAAATAAAAACCAGTAACATTTGAGGATGTCTTTGCCTTCTTTCTATGGTTGTAATTCACCTCGAAGTGAATATACATCAACTGAGTGTCATCATGATGTCATGCGAATGTCTAACCATGTTAAGGCCGTGTTTGGGATTGCTTTTTCATGTAAATATGCCACTTGAAAAGCCACCTTTTGAGAAACTTTTTTAGTGTTTGGATAAGTGCTTTTTTGCACCGGTTTTTTATTCAAAACAGCTTTTCTATGAACAGTGGCGGAGCCAGGATTTTTTTTAGGGGTCAAGTTGAACAAGAAAATGAGATAGGGAGTAGAAGAAATAGGATTTGGGAAAAATTGCCCCAAAATGAGTCTTACAGATTTTTTAAAGAAAAAATTAATCTTTTTTTTAGGGAGGAGTGTTAGAGAGTGATCATTTACATTTTAGTTTAAGTTTTTTTTTTTTTTCCTTTCTCTTGGTGTCATTTACCCAGATAAATAATACCCATCTCTCAAATGGATAATTTACTTTTCACCTAATGGGGACGTTGCTAAAACTAATGTGAACTCTAGAGAGAGGATTAAGGTGGGAGCAACGTTTTTGAACCGTCATTAACCTGGATGGTTCAACCGTTCGGCTCGGGAACTGTCCGGGCAACCGGTTCCGTTTTACCCAAAACCTAGAATCTGGTCAAAAACCACTGAAAAAGTCAACAAATTGTTGACCCGGGTGGTCGAACCGTCAACCTGTCCTGTTCAACGGTTTTTGACTTTTTTATTTTTTAATTATTTTTTATTTTTTTTTTAATTTTGCTGTCAAAACCGGCCGTCTGTTTAAACCAGATGGTCGGACCGTTAACCCAAAAACCGATGGCCAAAACAATCCCATTCCCAAGTCATTTTTTTTTTTAAATTGGGTGGGAAGAAGGTGGGGTAGCATCAATTTTTGAGATGCAAAATTTACATTGTCATCCAATTCAAATGACAAATGAAATAAAAGGTACAAATTTTGTATGAGGTAGAGATGGATACAATATGAGTTGAGCTAAATATTAGATTCAAGGTTCTAAGTATCAATAAAAGATGCCCTACATCAAGCTCGTTGTATTCATATTGTATCTTCGGGGTATTGATACATCTTTCTTAAGGTATTTTCAAAAACAATTTTTAATAATTAAATTACTTAAAATGAACCCTCCTATGAATACAATAACATCCTAAAAAAAACTAAAAAGATAGGACGCACAAGGTTCAAAGTGTCAAACACCCTTCTCGAGATATCAAGGCGTATCAATACTTTGAACCATACTTAAACATACTTGAATTTGGCCTTTTGGGCTCGAATTCAATTTGAACTAGAAAATACTAACTTGAATTCGGCTGGATTCCAGCTCAAGCTTGTCGATGAACCAAGTCTATTTCAACTCAAACTCAATACTTGTCCTATTTGTTCAACATTTAAAAACCACAAAAACTCAACAGAAATACTTAAAACTATTTGTTGTTTTATTTATTTCTTATTATACACACATTGAACTAGGCGCAAATTTTTTACTTGGCTCAGATTTGCACCGCAAACAAATAGAACCTATCAGTTTAAGTTTGGGAAAATTCCCAATCAGTATCTTGTACTTTAGCTTGAGTGACGATTTAGTTTTCGAACTTTAAAATGCGATAATTCAGTACTCAAACTTTTAAAACGCGACAATCTAGTACTTGCTGTTAATGGACTGTTAGTTATGTATATTTCGTGACCTCATGTGTGATTTAAAACTTTTGAAAATATCAAAATAACCCTTGGAAGTAAAACACATTGTTCATCATCTTCTTTCTCAAGTAGATGAAACAAAGCCTAAGCTCTCTGTCACAAACACCAAAACCCTTGCAACAGAGCCCAAACTCTTTGTCACAAACACTTGCAACGACTTTACCTTTTCTCGCAAAGTTGTTTCAAGTCTTTGCCAAGAACAAAAAATTCCAGATTTTATACAATTTTTTTTAACTTAATACAGTAATATTTTATTCCTACAAGTAAAAGAGAGGAGAAGAACTAGGAGCTTTGTCTTGATACTTGAGAGAGAGAGTCTTTTTTTCATTTTTCAGAGAAGATAATTATAGTAGTTAAAGGAAAATTTTTCTTTCAAAAATTGCTTTGGTTTTAGTCTGAAGATGATGGAATATTCAGAGGAGAAAACAAAAGTACTGTCACAGGGATGAAAATTTTGACGATTGGTTCTGATTTTAACAGATGGTTGATAAAGAAAAGTAGATCACACTTGAAGGGCATTTGTGTCTTTTTCATACCACTTAAAATGCAAATAAGATAAAAAGTAGAAATTTTATATGATGTAGATTTTTTTGTACTTTAGACTCAGTTTGGGAGGAGCACAAATACATAAAAAATATCTACATATTTATTTGTATTATACAAACAAGCATTACAAAACTATACCAGGTGCAAAATTTGTATCTGCTCCCTGTACTATTAACGGCGTGATGGAAGAAATAATACTTCACTGTTCTTCACCGTTATAACGGTTATAACGGCACTTAACATATATTGCGATAAATCAGCTCGCGCGTCGCGCCAATCTTTACATGGCCCCTGTTATCCACTCCACGTTTCTTTCTTCTTCATTTCCCCAATCTCTGCTCTTCTCTCACTCCTCCACCCAGAAACCCTCCTTCGACCGTTACAAATCTTTTCCCTTCAGACCAACTACCGCAATAACTGTTTCTTACTTACCTCTCACACCCTCTGAAGTTCCCTTCTCGACTTCTCCCGCCAAATTCCTTACTAGACCACAACAGTTACAACTTCATAACTCTTCCCAAGCTCTCGGCAGTTCAGTCTCAGCCGATGATGATGCTGTCTCACTCCCCGATCGTAACCACCAGCTGCTCCGCCTTTCGATTCGACATGGCGATATCGAGCTTGCCAGTGCTGTTCATGCCTCAATTGTCAAGGCTGAAGAAGATGTCCACCTTAGCAACAGTCTCATTGCCGCATACCTCAAACTCGACCGCATTACGGATGCCCAAAAGACCTTTGCCTGTTTATCGTCGCCTGATGTGGTCTCTTATTCAGCTCTCGTCTCTGCTTATGCGAAATCTAAGCAAGAGGACAAAGCTATAGAACTTTTCTTTAAGATGAGAGGTTCAGGTATTGAACCCAATGAGTTCAGCTTTGTAGCAATTTTAACTGCTTGCATTCGCCTATCGGACTTGCAATTGGGTTATCAAATCCACTCGTTGGCTATCAAAACTGGTTACTCTTATTGCGTTTATGTTTCGAATGCATTGATGGGTGTGTATATTAGAAGTGAATGCATTAATCACGCATATCAGTTGTTTGGTGAAATGGCTGAGAGAGATGTGTCCTCATGGAATACAATAATATCAGCTGCAGTAAAGGAGTTGCAATACGAAAGAGCTTTTGATCTCTTTCGTGATATGCAGCAAATTGATCAACTTCGTGTTGACTCTTTCACGCTTTCGAGCCTTCTGGCTGCCTCCACAGGGAGCTTAGCTAGGATGGAAGGCCAGAAAATTCATGCTCATGCTCTTAAGATTGGGCTTCAGTCAAATGTGAGTGTGAACAACTCCCTTATTGGGTTTTACACTAAATGCGGGAGTATAGAAGACGTAGTGGCTGTGTTTGAGAAGATGCCAGTAAAGGATATCATAAGTTGGACTGGAATGATTACTGGATATATGGAGTTTGGATTCATCAAATCTGCTCTGAACATCTTTGATAGCATGCCTGAGAGGAATTACATTTCATATAATGCTATGTTAGCAGGATATTGTCAGAATGGTGAAGGTTCAAAGGCTTTGGAGTTGTTTCGAGGTATGGTGGAGGAAGGCATGGACATATCTGATTTCACTTTAACCAGTGCTGTTAATGCTTGTTCAATCCTCTCAGAAATGGAGACTAGCAAACAAATTCATGGGTTTGTTATTAAGTCCGGTTTTGGTTCAAACTCTTGGATTGAGGCAGCATTGCTTGATATGTGTACAAAGTGTGCAAGGATGGATGATGCTCAAAAGATGTTTACTCAATGGTCCTATAACGAGGAAATTTCAGTTGTGTGGACATCAATGATCTGTGGGTATGCTCGGAATGGGCAGCTCATTGAAGCACTGAATCTCTTTTATACAATGCAAGTTGAAGACATGATTGTGGATGAAGTTGCATCAACTGCAGTACTTGGTGTCTGTGGTTCCTTAGGATTTCATGAGATGGGGATACAAATTCATGCATATGTTCTTAAATCTGGTTTTGTTTCTGACATAGGGCTAGGAAGTGCAATATTTAGCATGTATTCAAAATGTGGGAATATAGATGATGCAATAAAGTCCTTCAATGTCATGCCAAAACATGATATGGCATCATGGAATGGCTTAATTGCTGGCCATCTTCTTCATAGGAAGGGTGATGAGGCCTTGTCTATCTGGTCAAAAATGGAGAAGATAGGTATAAAACCAGACTCCTTCACCCTTGTTTTGATTCTTTCAGCTTACAGGTATACCAGATCAAACTGTGTTGACAAGTGTCATAGTTTGTTTCTGTCCATGAGAAGCCTTTATGGCATTGAGCCTACACCGGAGCATTATGCTTCCATGGTTGATGTTTTTGGTTACTGGGGTTACTTCAAAGAAGCAGAAGAACTAATCAATAATATGCCTCATGAGTCTGATGGTTCTGCTGCATGGAGAGCTTTACTTGATAGCTGTAGATTGTGGTTGAATGCAAGTCTTGGAAGATCAGATGGAAAGCATCTTTCTGATATGGGCCCACGAGATCCATCTATGTATATACTAGTTTCAAATCTTGGAAGATTGGCTGCAAAACATCTTCTTGCTATAGAGCCACAAGATCCATCTATGTATATACTTGTTTCAAATCTATATTCAGCGTCTGGGAGATGGCACTGTGCTGAAAGGGTTAGGGAGGAAATGAGGGAAAAGGGGTTGCAAAAGATCCCTGGACGAAGCTGGTACATTCATCAAAACAAGGTGTATTCATTCTATGCAAGAGATAAATCTTACAGCCAATCCAAAGACATCTATAGTGGGTTGGAGATACTGATCTTGGAATGCTTAAAGGTTGGGTATGTGCCTGATACAAGTTTTGTTCTTCATGAAGTGGAGGAGCATCAAAAGAAAGATTTCCTGTTCTATCATAGTGCAAAGCTGGCAGTGACATATGGGCTTCTTATGACAAAACATGGAAGACCGATAAGGGTTACAAAGAATATCAGTCTATGTGGAGACTGTCATACATTCTTCAAGTATGTTTCAACTGTCACTGGTAGGGAAATCTCTCTCAGGGATGCTTCAGGTTTTCATAATTTCAAGAATGGTGAATGCTCATGTAGAGATTATTGGTAATAGAATCACTGAAAGCAGAGGTGGTAGTGGTACCCATGGCCTTGATGGTGCAACACTAGGGCCGTGAATATTAGGACAAAATACAACATCATCTAAATCATCCAAATGTTTTTTTTTTTGTTTGCTTGTTGATAACTAATTAGTGCTTGTAACACAATTTATATTTAAATACTTCAAATGTTAAAAATACATTATCTGGAAGTTGGATTGATGCAAGACAAATGGAGATTTATACTAATACAGTGTGTGAGGCTTTTTGTCAGATTATAACATCTTATATTTCTGTTTAAAGGTATGATCTTTTAAGTTGTTGAAATGGCCCATTAACTTGAAGTAATTTTAGATTAGATTTGCTCTCCTCTTCCCCACCCCATCCCTAGTAGAGGAGCTAATTATGTGATGTTTGAAGTGCAACAATTTCTTGCGGCCAAAGGGTGTAATTTTTCATTCTAATAGCTATGGAAAATAACACTCTAAGTTTTCATTGTTGGGTATTCTCTTGTCTGATAGTGGTTTATTTTTTTTGCATGTATATTTGGAGTATATTTGTTTCACATTTCTGATTCTTCAGTAAATGCTATGCAGCCATGCAGGTTAATTGTAATTTGATTGAAACTATGAGATTATAGTACCCTCATCATCATGTATGTCCTTCGTTTCTCCTGGTATGTCAAAACAAACAAGTGGCGGTTCTGATGCTCATATTTATAACCAATCGGAGCCATCATTATCCATTCTTCATAATAGTGTATTCTTCAGGTTTCTAGGTAGTCTTTTCAATTAAAGAAAGGCTTGAGTATCACTTCAAAATGTCATTACATGTAAGTGCATAGTCTCTACCAATGTTCATTGTCATGCACTCATGCCAAGGTGCCCAGATCCTTAAGATCCAAGGATTGTGCTTGAATTGCCCCTCGACCTGATCCAACTGCCTGAGTTATATCCCCTGGCAGGAAAAGGGAATGTCGTGTTTCCTTAATGTTATAACGTTATCTTTGTGTTATGTCCCAGAAACTCACACACAGTTCTCAGGCTCACAGCCGAATTCACACACTTGAACATCAACAAAAGAAACTAGTATTCATTCAGCAGAAAACATTAACAGTTGGTCGGTACTTCGAGAGACCGCCGGCTCTCCCAAACACTCCCAATATTCTTCACTCCAAAAAACATACCACCCCCCCTTCCCCCAAAGCCCCTTCTTATACTCTTCTGATAGCATAACTGACTCCCTCTATAAATGCCCAGCTGGCCTAGTTATAAATGCCCAAAAACTCTTCTTATTCATAACTGAC